CGCCAAAAGAAAACCCGACAATTTAAATATAGTCTATATTTAAATTGTCGGGTTTTCTTTTGGCGACACTCATATACAGTCGACCCTCTCAAAACCGATCCAGAATCTGATAAAAAATTAATCCACCAAGTCCGATAACCTCTCAAATGAGAGAGAGGGTCGACTGTATAAACTAGTAAAAAGTATATATATTGTATATATAATAGTTTAAACTTTAAATTACACAAGATTTGGAAAGTTTTAAATATTTTTACTTAACCTCTATTTTTAAGATACTATATAGTACTACAAATAATTAATACCACAGGTAAATATTTATCACTAAAATAATTCAACATTTTACTTGTATTAAAAATTTTTACACAAAAAATTTATTTGACATTGATGTATTAATTTTTATTAATTTTAATAAAAAATATATATTCAAACAAAAATATTTATTTTGCCTTCAGAAAACGCCAAAGCTTAATAAATTCCTAGTTATACTGTATGTAAGGGAAGTGTCAGATATCGTAGGGTGGGAGGGAGGTAGGTAAAGTCTCAGGTCTAAATATGTACATATAACCAATCAGAATGATTACATCTCTCGGGAGAGTGATCCGACACATCCCTAACCTATTATTTAGACAAAAAAAATCAAAATTTACAAACTAATGATTAATAAGATTCAGTAGTAAAAATCAATGTTCTAGATTTTTTATTCCAATTCTTTTGAAAGTAAATTTTGACTATCACTTCCACCGATTAGCAGCCTTGCTACTGGATTATAATCAATCGAATTAATAGCGAGATTATTGAATCCACTCCCAAGTTTTCGAATTAATATTGAATCCCGTAACGTTCCATGGTGCCTAAGGTTTTCCGCATGTGGATTAAAATCCATGATTCCAATTGTGCCATCTTATTACAACCAAGAATTGATTAGATGGATCAACAAATTAATTTGTCCGGCAGCTTACTATGATAGTACTTGACAAATAACTCGAGTTATTTGGTAATGATTACGTCATCTGCCAAATATCGAAGTTATCTGACATCTACATAATCATTGTCAGAAACTCGAGTTATTTAGCAAACACAATCGTCATAAATCGCCGGATAACATCGTCATTGTATGCTATGCAGCCAATAAATTGTTTACCTTACTGCGAATTTAATGTCATTTCTGAACCCCTTTGGGACCAGAAGCTGGCATATCAAGTTCATAGCCGGATAAATCATTTTGCAAATAATTCTCGTTATTGGCTGCTTTGCATTCAATCTACTCAATAATTGTACATCAGACATACCCTCAGAACAGCTCAAAAGTATTCCCGCACGATAGGGATGAAAGATCAACTCATATACTATGAAACAGTAATATTTAAATTAAACCTAATTATGCAACTAATTATATATACATATATATAAGCCATACCATTATTTTTATGCGGATGAGTTTGTTTTTCTGGTTTCGATAAATTTCTAGTGTCCCATATCGTCACAAAACCCTGAGAACTTCCTGATACGATTTGGTGCACCTATGAAAAGATTCTCAGTTAAAATATATATAAATGAAGATATCATAATCCAGCACATTTGAAATATCACCTGCGATGAATTAACTTTTAAACAATTCAGAGCATCCCTCGGATGAGCAGGGCTGAATAATTACTAAAGTATTGATAAAGAATTCTTAAACAGCATTTTTGATAACATTATTCTACTAAAAGCCCATACTCATAAAACTTAGCACAAGGCTTATTCGGATTTCGACAGTCAAATAGTCTTAGTTGCCCGGAACTTCCGGCAGTAATCTAGAAATTTCAAAGTCAAATAAGTGTAATATTGAATATTTTGATGATGTTTGTATAAAAATATTTAATTACTATTTGATCCGACAACGGCCATGAAACCGCTCTGAGACCAGATGCATCGGCATCATCTAAAGAGAAAAAAAAAAAAATTATATAATTTAGAGAATAAATACATAATAAATAAATAAATGGGCTAGGTGACAATTTTTTCAAAATAAATTTTTTTACATAAATTAATTTAAAATAAGGTTAGGATCTTTTTTCACTTAAGACACAAAAATTGTGTTAATAAAATTTTTTTATGATCTATTATAAGATTTATAACATAAAAATCCTTTTTCCAGCACCTAGCCCATATATATTTTACATTAAATATATTAGGGTTATTTACCTACTATTTTGCGGTGATTTTGATCAGTAACTTTAAAAAGCACAAGTTTACCATCTTCTCCAACACTAGCAATTTCAAGATCTTGGGTGCTGAAAGGTTTTATTGCCATGCCCGTAGCTGCCGCACTTTTATTCTCTGAGAAACTATGCAGATAATGAGTTATAATCGGATGCATTTTATAAGCATGATCCACGTGCATTTCTATATCGAAATCCGTTTCACGCTCAGTCTCATCGCGTTCGAACTTTAAAATAAGATAAAGGATAATAGATTACCAGCAGAAAGAATATATATATTATAAGGCCAATAATTTACCTTTACGCAATTGAAGACGTGAACGCAGCCTTTTGAGGATGACGTGAGTAATAAATTATCACCAATAAACTGCATATCTCTCACATCTCCCTTGTGAGCTATCTTTGCGATAATTTTATTTTCGTATGAAGGAACGAGATTGCGTAGACTGATTGGCGTTTCTTCCGATTTCCATAACGTTAAAGCGTTTTTCTAAGACAAATTAATTAGTGGCATTTAGGGAAGAGAAAAAAAGGAGACGAGAAACGCTACCTCTTTTTCGTCCCAAGTACCTGTTGCAAACAACGTGAACCGACTATCGTATGTTTGTTGCGAGGCAGAAAAACGAACTTTTGAAAGCTTTCCATAAGCGTGTTGCGCGTATAAACTTTCCAAATCTGGCATAATTCAAATAAATAAAATTTTGATAGACAGAAAGCAACAAGACAAATTATTTATAGATGCGAGATTTTCTGGACACGTGACGATCTACGGAAAATTATCCGGGGAAGTCACAAAAAGAAGGTTTATATTAACATCGTTATGGTTAGAAAATATTGATACAATAAATATGTTCATATATAGATTGTTTATATTTTATCAAATTTTAGTTGCGAGTATTTTCGACATCACTAAAAATAACTCTCAATATATGTCGAATATAATTAATAAACTATTTGTTTTATTTGATAAGGATTATAAAATTACTTTAGATTTTTAATTAATGTGAAATGCAGATCATTGCTGATCGATAAATAATATCCAAAACGAAAGTTACCAAATCACACTGCCAGTGTTTAACATCACATCATACCGAATTATAATTAAATGCTTTGGCATGTTACATTTTTTAAGAAAATTTAATTAATGAATATATCATATTGCAGATTAATTTTTTTTACAATAAATAGTTGTTGAACACAAACGATGTGATTTAGTAATTTCCAAAAAAGAAATAATAAAATATTAATAAGTAAATTAAATATGATAATTATTATCTGATTTTGTCATAGTTTATATTGAGAGTCTTTTGCATCAAGTTCGATATTTATTCCGGCTGCTGCGGATGATCGTTGGCTATTATCATTATCCTCAAATCTTGCACTGCTTCCTCTACTAGCCTTACTTTCTCTACTCTCAAGAATTTTTTTTCCCTCGTTATAAGTTTTAATCTCTTCGATAAGTTGCTTAAGCACATTTTGCTCTGAGTTACCAAAGATAAATCCAACTAATCCAACAATAACACCATAAATAGCGATAGGCACAATTATCACATTAATAATTACCTCTATCCACAAATAAGTTGATATTTGTCTAATTGAAAACAAAATTTCTATGGCAATTAATCCAAGTACCAAGAATAGGCAAAAATAAAACAAAATTATCTGTATGCGTGATGTATTCTGTGATTTACTCAAATCCCTGTTAAAAATTTCGATCATGGTTTTCATTGTACGAGTATCCAATTCATGCAAAGTTTCATAAGGACCTTGTTCCCAAATAGATAACGGAATAACAGAATTCTTGTCGCGTCCAACAAGTGTAAATGTAGCTTCAACACCAAAATGATCAGAATAAGAGTAACCCAATTCCGGAATCCTTTCAGTAAAGACGACGCGTGAATTACTGCACCAAAATCTCGATGTCTTACGGTAAAAGACATAATCAATACGAATACCAACATCTCGATTATTTGTTGCATGCTTGAGAGCAAAACATTTAGACCATGTGTTGACCGGTGAGTCACAAGTAACACCTTTTTGATTAATGGCAGCGTTCGCATCGAACCCAGGTAGAACAATTTCTTGATTAATAGAAGTAGTAGAAACGCTCATCGGTGTATTAGAGTTTTGAGATTGCCAAGCATCAGTCATCTGTCCATGTTGAGTGATAAGTTTATATGCAAGAGAATCTTGCTCGCTATTATAATCACCAAGCTAAGAAAAAAAATAATTTTTTTTTGCATGAATTTTCCATGATAATCCATGATATGATATTGATTACAAACGAATTACACTGTTAATAATTATTTACCGCGATAACATTTCTCCCTCGTGAGGCAGAAATTTTCATCAAATTTGCAGCTTCCCAAGCTTGAGCAACTCTGTGTGTTAGATAATCGTCATTCTTTTTATGATCGTAACACGCGTGAATCTGTAAGTATATGTCGTGATAAGATGTGTAAATAATAAAAATAAATATAATTATTTTATATATATCTACATGTATCTTACGTGAGTATTGAACACTTCGATTAACCCAGACACGGGATGGTCAACCACTGCACTAGTCAATCCTTTGCCCACGTACCAATCACCATGTGTAAGTTTAATTGGGCGACCATTCAAACGATATTTGTGAAAATTAAATTCAACTATCGGATAACGCGAGAGAATGACAAGACCTCCACCCAAGACGCCACTAATTAAATATTCAATAAATGATAGTGTAGTAAAATTAAAGTTTATGCGTTAATGTTGGTCACAACTTTGAATGACTTTGGTTGCGTGTCCTGCCAATTATGTAAGCAAATCTGCATTGTTGATGAATTCTTACCTCGAAGAATTGATACAAAAATTTATACATTACCTGTGGGTAAACTTAGCATGGGGGAAGCGTTTTTTAGTTCTGTTCCTAATTAATTCGTAGTTGGCATACACCCACACTTCTTGCAAACAAACAATCTCGTAATCTGAACGTGCCAGGCTGTCAGCAATAGCTTCTATGCGCCGGTTCCGTTTCTTAGAAACATGCTTCAGACCCCTAAATATATGCACAATTTTAAAATGATAGAATGCGAATAGACTGCAAACCAATATTGAAGTTTTCTCCAAAATACCAGCAATTTAAGGTGAGGACTGAAAGTGTTGTAGTACTTGAACCACTCATTACGCTTATGACAATCTCGAACGGTTATTATGCCACTCGTCACTCGAATAGAACGTATAATGATACGAGAGAATTCAAAAATGAGACTTAAGAATAAAAATGGGTTAAGGATTTATAATTTTCATGTTGTATTCAAATAATGCATATTTTTTATATTTTTTGGACAATATCTACGTACAACATCTTACTTCCAATAACGGATTGGCGCTACCTTTTGAATGAATTAGACTAATTCTGTAATTGCGCGAATTTAAATCAACATCTACACTTTAAAAAAAAAAAGGCTCACTATATGCACAAAATTATGTCACATCGATATTATTGTAGTTATGAAAAATTTTTAACGATAATCTATATTTGCATCAGACGTGCACATGACAGGTCTTTTTTAATACGTATATATATAATAATAACAATATCAATATATTTGTGTTAACGTTAAACGTACAACTCTCGTTTGTTATTTAACTATTTCCCTACAGAGTTTAGATATAAACAAGCTTCTGTTTCAGTAATTTCCATTTGAGGCTCTGATCTCGTTCAGCATATATTATTTTGGTATGCTAATACTTTTATTTCGAAAAATTAAAAAAGTTATACAGTATGAAATTTTCAAAGAGCAGCATACATTTAATGATCAATAGTTGCGTTTTTGATTCTCATTTCTATATTTAAATTATTAAATCAAAAACGTAATTTTATAACTTAGTGTCTGTCGCACTTTTGTATTTTTTTGACTCATTTTTTATTATTTAGTGCAACAAAAACATGAACACTAGGTTCGTTAAGGTGCCAAACTGTTATAATCAACCTAAAAAATTTATTTAAAAAAAAATCTGCTATTAAAAAGTTTTATATATTAAAAGTTTTAAAAACTTTTTATATCAATATATAAAAAATTAATTCTATAAATTTTTTTTTAATTATATATATATAATATCGATATTAAGACAAAAATTTTTTTTACGTATTAATTATTATAGTAACGGTAATGGTAATATTACAAAACTCTTACTATCGCTATATATATAGTAACTTTTAAACAAGTTACGTATACGTACAAAAAACCAAATTTGAACTATATACTACTATATATAGTATATAAACTTAAATCTGTTACATAAAAACAGTTTATTTTTATAAATTTATTTAAATTTTTATTATTTTTGTACTGTACGTATTAAAATTAATTTTTTGGTTCTCATAACCCGGACGGGTCAAATTTTGCTAAACTAAAAAAATTTTTTTAAGTATATATATATATAATATTCGTGGGTCACTCTTTTAAAAGTTTATAAACTAACTTTATACAGTATAGCTTTAACTATACAGTATAGTACAAAAATATTTAATATTTGAATAAACTATATAATAGCTAGTGTAAAATCTTTATATAGATTATTTAAATAGACAATTTAAAATCATAAATGTAGTTAGTTGTATTTTTATTATATATAGTATACAGTATATTGTAGTATATTACTTGTAAAGCATTATACTTTATAACTGAACTATTAATAAAGTTTTAGCACATATACCTGTCTATAGCAAAATCTATCATTTGTCAAATATTCTAATAGTTATTCAGAATTCATAGCAACTTCTATATTGCTATACTAGGCTTTGCCATAAAAATTTTCTATTGCTTAAATTATACTAAAGTTACTACATCAGCAAAATATATTAATGTAATCCTATGTAAGTTATTATGCCCTGAAATATTGCGCAATAATTATGGTCTGGGCATAATATTGTGCAATAAATTGTGAAATATAACGTAATATTACGAAATATATTACACAATATTATAAAACTTATAGCATAATATTGTGTTATATTGCGCAATATTTCGAATTAATTTGAAACAATTCAAAATAGACATAAATACATCAAAATAGCAAAAAATTTATAAACTAACAGATAGCTATTGATGAGTAAGAAAAGCTAATCAATTCGAATTTATCAAATACTATTTGAAATATTTCAGAGTATTTCGAATTAATTCGAAATAAATTAAATAAAAATATGAATAATAGGAAATATATTTAAACAC